GTTAAAAATGATGTTTAAAATACGTAGCATAGTGCCTAAAGTAATCAATAAATGATCCATCTATATCAGTGGTTCTCAACCTTGGATGACATTAGAATCACCTGGGGAGTTTTTAAAATACTATGTCCAGGCTTCACCCAAACCAATTAAATCAGAATCTCTTGGAGGTACGTCTCAGGCCAACAATATATTTTTTTTTAAAAACAGCTCCCTAGATAATTCTAACGTGTAGCCAGAGTCAAGAACTATAACCTAAAAATAAATGTCGTATATAATATATGAAAATGTAATCTTTGTATTGAAATGTTTATAAAATATAGTGTGATGCCAGTTAAACAAGTGACCAAAAGAACTTCAAAACCTGTCTAATAATTTAGTTTGGAAAAAAAGTAAGTTGAAAGAGTAGATAAATGATAATTTAAAACAAAGACATGGTCTAGCATCTCTGAAGTAAGATGCCTGCACTCAACTCCCAGCTCCACCACTTACCAGCTTTGTAACTTCAGGCAAGTTACTCAACTACTGTTTCCTCATTTGTAAAATAGCGATAATGACAGTACCTACCTCTTATTGTGTTGTTAGACCATTGGATGATTTAATATTTGTAAAATGCTTAGAACAATGCCTGGCATATAGTAAGCACTATGTATCGTTTTTAAAAAGAGTACTTGGATGGAAATATTTGGAATGAAATAATGCTGGCATTAATATTGAATCTCAGTAACATATTTTGCATTAAATTAGAACTGAAAACAGGTGTTATACAAAAGCTCTGGGGTGATTATTAAAAAAATTCTTTACACCTTATATCAAAGATCAAACTGATCTTAAGTTCACACTAGCTACTCTCCTCATAGAAGATGATGTGTTAATCTAGCCAGGATGTGTATAAAATACCACAAAATATGTTAATAAAACTATCCACTATCCCTGAAGCCCTGAAGTTCAAATATTATCTGATGAACTGCAGGGAATTTTTAAAACAAGATCACCATATACAGGTGTTGTGTTGGGTTTAGGTCCTGGAGGTGGATTTTTCGGTGATTTTCCTTTCTTTGTCATACCTGGTCTGGCCCTTGCCTACTTCTCCAGCATTATTCTAATGGCCTCACCCGACACCCTTGCCCCATCCAGGAAATCTTCCCTTCACTTCCTTCAAGTCCTACTGTTTCCTCCTCCAATCCTTTGCTACTCTTACTGATGAGTCCTCTTCCTGGAATGCTCTTCTCATTTTCCTCTGACCATCCCACCCCCAACCTACACATCTTTTAAAACTCAGTTCAAGTACTAACCTCTTCTATGAAGCCTTTCCCAACACCCCAGGTGGAGGTAAGCATTCCCTCTTTTGTACCTACTTATACTACGAACAGACAGCATTTTCAAATTGTTTTTTTATTTGGCCACACTGAGTGGCATGCAGGATCTTAGCTCCCTGACCAGGGATCAAACCTGGGCCCTGGCAGTGAAAGCACTGAGTCCTAACCACCGGATCACGAGGGAATTCCCCAGATGGCCATTTTTAAAGCCACATTTGAGTCTTTTTAAAGGTCAGGAACAATTGTCTTATTTTATTTACATATGTATTTATTTAATCATCAACCCCTGGCACAGAATCAGGCTCGTTTAACTAATTTCATTGACCTAGAGAATGGAAGGAAGGGAGAAAGGGAACAACGAAGGAATGGTATCCATTTGTATGGTGTTTGACTGAGAAGAGGGGCGTCATCAGTGAGCACGAATGAAGCAGTTGGAATCTATGGTTGCTGGTTTCAGTAAGACCAACAGGAAAACCATGCTAGCACAAAGCCATCAGCTTCTCATAAACCTAAGACATCATCATGCCTCTGCTACATCGAGAGACCCTGCTCAAGATTTCATTGAAACCCTAAGGTCAGAGAGAAGTGGGAGAAGAATCCCTCAAAGCTATACAAGAGAGCGTTCATTTACAAACTTTGTAAGTTCTCTAGCTCTCCGTTTTCCTAAATTTTCTCCCATCTTTAGTAGATTTTTATAATGTCCCACCACTTCTCAGAAGTCTTTTCCAGTTTTGTGGAGACAAAGTCATTAGACTCACAACATTTTAGCACAGTTAATATCAGGACCCCTGGGATTCTGGCTCTATCATTAGCTCTGCAGTTTTAAGCCAGATGCTTAACAGTCCTGTGCCTCAGTTTACTTGCCTTTAATATGAAAACAATAATAGTATTTATCATAGAGTTGTAAAGTGGATTAAATATTTAGAATATCACATTGCATGTAGAGAGTCCTAAATACACATTTATATTTATTATAAATTAATAGTTAATATTATATGTTAGTTAATACTATAGACAAGAACTACTAATTTAGTCCCTTCTTTAAACAGGAAAAATGTAGGTGCTTCTGTTATAATTATCAAAACAGTGCTTATTTTAGAAGTTAAGGAACTCAATATATTGGTCACACTGAGGATATACTTTCACCTTCTGCATAAATAAACACGTCTACTTACAAAACAGAAGATGTCTCATCTACGAATCCTCTGTGGTATTTGCTGCTTCAGAGTCTATATTAGCAATGGTGAAACTTGGCAAGAAAACCAATCTTGTATAATGGCAGAGAAATGACAGGCCAACCTTGCCTAGGACTCATAAAATTCAAACAAGGTAGTATCTGTCAGAGGCACCGACACTTTTCTTTTTCTAAACTGAAATGAGCTGAACACAAGTATGAAGCTTATTATCAATCTCGTTTTCAGTTCCTTTGAAATCTTTCATGAGTCTCTCCTATCTAAGGAGACCAGCCACCAAAGAAGAGTCTATGTGTGGTAGGGGATTAGGTTAGACAAACACCTATAGAAATTCAATATCCATCGTTCTCTTTTCCATTCTCCTATTAAGAGGGCAAATCTTATCCTCCTCAGTAAATGAACCATAGAGGCCTCTAAAGAGGCTGGGGTGGTTAGACTGTAGAGGGATCCCTGACATTATGCCTAAGGACAGATTCCAGTTTATGTCCCCAGCAATGGTGAATAGATAAGTCAATAGATTACTTTTCATTTACATCTAAAATCAACAAACCAATCATTTGTTTACATGCGAGTTGTGCCTAAATATTGAGCATTCATGATTACTAATAAAAGAGACTATTTGTATTCACATTCACATTAGCTTTCACAAGTAAGTCTGACCCACAAACACCTTATAGTCTTACCAGAATGAAGTTCCTAAATCCCTCAAGGAAACATGTCCAGCTAGTCAAGAGGTATTTCTGCTTCTTCCACAGCCCGCCTCTCCAGCCACTTGCTGATGCATTCTATCTTCTTGAGCAGTAAGACAGACAACTGGACTCACAGGAAACAAGACTGAAATGGAACACAGGGCTGTAACTCAGAAGATGGTGGCTTTGTGTGGTTTTGCCACTTACTAGCTGTGTTTCCTCATGAATTCACTTAACTTTCATTTATTCAATAATAAGATTTTCCCCTCCCTCCATCTCACCAAGTTACTTTGAGGATATTAGAACTGACTATGAGAGCAACCCTAAACTGTAAAGTGCCAAACGGATGTCACTCTGACTATTCATTCCAGAGCATGCATGGGAGCTTTGTGCCAGCAGCCTCTGGTGTTAGACTGCCTGAGTTCAAATCCAGGCTCCCTCTCACTAATTGTGACCTTGAACAAGTGCATGCTTCTGTTTCCCCGTCTGTGAAATATGAAATGGAAGGGCACCTGTATGGCACTTAATGACAAGAACCTAGAAAACATTCCATAAAAAGTTAAGATTTGATTCAGCAAGGACATTTTTAAATTTAATTTTTATTTTATATTAAAGTATAGTTGATTTACAATGTTATGTTAGTTTCAGGTGTACAGCAAAATCATTCAGTTATACATATGTACATACCCATTCTTTTTCAGATTCTTTTCCCATATAGGTTATTATAGAATATTGAGTAGAGCTCCCTGTGCCAAACAGCAAGGACTTTTTTAAGTGTCTATTCCTTGACTATGTATGAGCTTTGAGAATGCTGAAGAATAGACAAGATCTAATTCCCACCTTTGGAGGTCTCACAGATTTGCGAAGGGTAGACACTGAGGTAAACAAGTGTTGTGATGAAGATAAAATGTGGTTAAGCACAGGGCACAGATCCATTCCTAATCCCCTGCTCTGTCCTTCTGCCTTCCTCTGTTTCCCTGCTCTTCCTAGGCAAATTCCCCTGATAACTGCATCTACTTTCAGAGCTAAGACCTATAGCGCAGAACTCTACCCTCACTGCAGGATATCCCCAAGTAGCTTACTCCCTTCTTCCACTCCTGAACCTATACCTCTTACAACTAATCTCTCAACCTAATCAATGACCAAACCATGATAAATTTGTCTGAGAAGCATGCCCCATTTCTCAACCCATATACACACCTACTGCGCTCATCTTGACGTTGCAGGAGCTTCCTATGCATCTCTGGGCCTCCAGTCTCAACCTGCCTACCCATCACTCATTCCCCATTCAGCCACCTGAGTTATTCTAAAGCTTATATCTGTTCACAGTTCTCCCTGTGGTAAGCCTTCAGTGGCTTCCCATTGCTGACTCAATAGCATCTTCTTAGGCCTACAGGACTCTTAACTCAAATCTCGGGCTCCTTTCTATTTTATTCACAGTTCTCAGGCCTCAACAAAAAGGAAACCCAATATACCTTTCCAGAACACACATGTACCTTCTAATTCTCTCTACTCTTGCTCTTGTTTTGATCCTGTTATCTCAGATATCCTATCTGCCAGCTATCCATCCACCATCCTTCTTTTTCATCCTTCAATGTCCAGCTCAAATGCCAATGACTACATATTGCTTTCCCTGATTAACCAGAATCCCTCAGGATTTCTTGCTCTTTATCCTAGATTTACACATACCGTGTAGATTGAACCATATGATTTACCTTATTTTTGGTAGGTCAAAAATGGCCAAATAACAGTAATTTCAAATAATTCAACCTATAAATTAATGTTTCTCTTACACCACTTATCCTGCTTCAGTAGACTTCTTTATACTCTGTCTTCTTCTTTGCATGCCCAGTGCCTAGCAGTGATGGAAAAGTAGATTCTCAGAAAATGCTTATAGAATTCAAGATAATTGTTATGTATGGATCTCAATATAATACTTCATTGAGTTCCCTTAAGTCTAGGTATCAATCTTTATCTCATTTTGCTGGAGTCTGACAAGGGTAAAGTTACTCACCCAAGGCTGTCTTATCAAGTCAGGAGTGTAGGTATCCTTTCCTCATTTCCATCAGGACCCCGCTCTCTCTACCTACCAACTAATAATTATCTAGCCTAGAGAGGGAAAAATCCACCTCCAGGGTCATCCTTTCTCTAGGCAGCAAGTGTGTAATTTGTAATGTTATCCATTCAGGACATTCATTCATTCACTCAATCATGGAGGTGTGATTGGCACTGGGAATATAGAAGTAAATAAGGCAACCAGAGGTAATGAATTTAGAGTGCCTTTGTTCTTTGACATGGTCTTCAAATATTTTTCCTCGAGAATCACCTGAAGACATTTTGAACATTTAAACAATATCATGTATTTTTGAACAGTTTTAAATGTCTTGTACATTTTAAGGTATCTAAATTTTTTATCATAAGTTTACATTGTCACAAAGGATGTAATTTTCAATATATATTTAATATTGTCACTTTAAATATAATTACTATATCATTTTAAATGTATCAAATGAAATTTGAATATTATAATAATTTAATACTCAAGACCAGCTATTTAAAAATATATGAAAAACTATTTTGTAATACTTGGAAATTTTAGGCCTTTTCTTTGTCTATTTCAACTCACATTTCCACTACACTTTCTTCCTGGATTTTATACATATATATTATATGAGAAATGTGGAGCTGTATATTTAGGTCAATTTACAAAAATATCCATGGCAAACAATAAGCCGAATTACACTTTCAGAAAAATTCTGCTTTTATTATTTCAATTCAAATACATATGTTAATAAGCATTGCAAGAAACATTATAAAAACAATGAGAAATAAGTTGCAAAATGAATCCTGTAAGACAGATTATAAAAAGTAGTCAAGGTTAAAATAATATAGATCTAATATGAATAATTAATCCATTTTCATAAATTATAAAAAAAGGTAAAGCAATATGTTAGCTCTCAGTATCAAATCTGTAATAAAGCAATGAGTGTACAGTTTATGAAATAATGATAATATCATTCCTCTAATAAGAATGTGTGTCTCTGTCCAGTCGAAAGGCAGAGAATGGTCAAATGAAGCAAACATGGTCCAACTACATGCCATCACAAGAGACATAATTGATTCAAAGACACAATAAGTTGAAAGTAAAAGGATAGAAAAATATATCCCATACAAAGAGTATCCAAAATAGAGCTGAAGTGGCTACAGTAGTATAAGGCAAAATAGACTTAGAGACAAATTTTGTTACTAGTGACAAAAAAGGACATAATAATAAAAGGGTCAGTCCATCATGAAGACAAAATAATTATAAGCATAATGCATCTAACAAGAGAGTGCCCCAAAACATGACGTAAAATACATACATTAAAAAGTGATATAGACAATTCAACAATAATATTTGAAAACTTCAACACCTCACTTTCAACAATGGGTAGAACAACCAGGCAGATCAACAAGGAAACAGAAAACGTAAACACTGTAAACCAACTAAATATAACAGACTTCTACAGAACACTCCAATCAACAGCAAGCAGAATATACATTCTTCTCAAGTGCATATGGAACATTTTCCAGGATATGTTAGGAGTATATGTTAGGAGGCCATAAAACAAACCTCAATAAATCTAAAAGTATTTAAATTATACAGTGTTCTTTGACCACAATGGAATGAAATGAAAAGTCATAATAATAGAAGGAAATTTGAGAAATTCACAGATATGTGAAAATTAAATAAAACTCTCCTAAATAACAACTGAGTCAAAGAAGAAATCACAATGCAAATTACAAAATAATTTGAGATAAATGAAAATAAAACCACACATACCAAAACTCATGAGATGCAGCTCAAACAGCAGTCAGAGGGAAACTTATAGCTATAATGCCTATAAGAGGAATAAAGATCTCAAATCGATAACCTGAACTTCTACCTTAAGAAACTAGAAAAAGAAGAATAAGCTAAAACAAGCAAGCAGAAGGAAGAAAATAATAAAGATTAGATCACAAATAAATAAAATAAAAAATAAAAATAGTAGTGAAAATCAATGAAATCAAAAGTTAGTGATTTGAAAAAGATCAACAAAATTAAACTTTAGCTAGCCTGGCCAAGAAAAAAAAGTAAGGACCCAGATTACTGAAATCAGGAATAAAAGAGGGGACCTCAGTACTAACCTCACAGAACTAAAAAGGATTGTAAGGGAATACTATGAATAATCATATGACATCAAATTAGATAACCTAGGTGAAATGGAAAATTCCTAGAAAAACACAAACAACTGAAACTGAAAAAATTAAAAATCCAAATAGACTTAAAACAAGTAAAGATATTTCATTAGCAATTTTAAATCTTCGCACAAAGAAAAGTCTAGGTCTAGATGGCTTCAGTAGTGAATTCTACCACACGTTTAAAAAAGAATTAATGTCAATCCTTCAGACGCTCTTACAAATATTTAGAAGGGGAAGGAACACTTCCCAACTCATTCTATGAGACCAGTATTACCTTAAGACCAAAACAGGACAAAGACATGATAAGAAAAGAAAGCTACAGATCAATAGTCCCTACAAATACAGATGTAAATATCCTCAACAAAATACTAGCAATCCAAATCCAGAAATATATATATATATATATATATATATGTATATATGAATGATTGGTTTAACATCTGAAACTCAATCAGTGCAATACATTATATTAACAGAATAAACCACAACGATCTCAATAGATGCTGCAAATTCAGTAATAACTTCTATATCGATTACATGATGAAATAATATTTCTCATATACTGAGTTAAAAAATATATTACTCAAGTTAACTTCACCCACTTCTTTTTCCTTTTTTCAGTGTGGCTTCTAAGAGATTTCACATTATATATGTAGCTTGCATTTGTAGCTCACAATATATTTCATTGGACTGAGATGATCTGGATGGATCCTAGTTTCAAGACCAGTGCTCTCATGGCGTTAGGTATTTTTCATGTTATTTATCAGAGGAGAAAACAGACTGACAATGGTTAACCTGCCCAGGTTAACACACTCCACCCTGTAGGTGTCAGAACTAGTATTGGAATTCAGTTCTGCCCGTAAAGCCTGAGTTTGCCCTGTTTACATCACTGGTTTTCCTTAGAGATTAAATAGTCATTGAAGATATTTAATATTTAACTTTTAGAATTTCTTTCTTCCTTTCAAATGTAGGAAGAATTTAGCCTCCTCACCTTTTCCATTTTTCATTTGGACTTATCCTTCCATTTCTGTTAATGGGATTTTACTACCATTACCACCATCCATTTGCATGCTTTTGGTAATTTTTTGTTTTTGTTATCAACCCCCCCTGCCCCCCACAGGACTACCAGTGTGTTCTTCTAGCTGGCCTTCTAGTCTACTCTTTACCTTACGCAGCATGGCAGATGATAGTCAAGATTTGTTTGTTTGTTTAAACATACATTCTGCGTCAAACGTCATAGAAGACTCTCCATTTAAAATATTGCTTAAATTTACCAAGGCTTGATTTGTGACCCAAGATATGATCTATCCTGGAGAGTGTTCCATGAGCTCTTGAGAAAAATGTGTATTCTGTTGTTTTTGGATGGAATGTCCTATAAATATCAATTAAGTCCATCTTGTTTAATGCATCATTTAAAGCTTGTGTTTCCTTATTTATTTCATTTTGGATGATCTGTCCATTGGTGAAAGTGGGGTGTTAAAGTCCCCTACTATGATTGTGTTACTGTCGAGTTCCCCTTTTATGGCTGTTAGTATTTGCCTTATGTATTGAGGTGCTCCTATGTTGGGTACATAAATATTTATAATTGTTATATCTTCTTCTTGGATCGATCCCTTGATCATTATGTACTGTCCTTCTTTGCCTCTTGTAATAGTCTTTATTTTAAAGTCTATTTTGTCTGATATGAGAATTGCTACTCCAGCTTACTTTTTTTTTTTTTTTTTTTGCGGTACGTGGGCCTCTCACTGTTGTGGCCTCTCCCATTGTGGAGCACAGGCTCCAGACACGCAGGCTCAGCAGCCATGGCTCACGGGCCCAGCCACTCCATGGCATGTGGAATCTTCCCAGACCGGGGCACGAACCCGTGTCCCCTGCATCGGCAGGCAGACTCTCAACCACCGTGCCACCAGGGAAGCCCTCCAGCTTTCTTTTGATTTCCATTTGCAGGGAATATCTTTTTCCATCCCCTCACTTTCAGTCTGTATGTGTCCCTAGATCTGAAGTGGGTCTCTTGTAGACAGCATATATACAGGTCTTGTTTTTGTATCTATTCAGCCAGTCTGTGCCTTTTGCTGGGAGCATTTAATCCATTTACATTTAAGGTAATTATTGATATCTATGCTCCAATTCCCATTTTCTTAATTGTTTTGGGTTTGTTACTGTAGGTCTTTTCCTTCTCTTGTGTTTCTTGCCTAGAAAAGTTCCTTTAGCATTTGTTGTAAAGCTGGTTGGGTGGTGCTGAACTCTCGCAGCTTTTGCTTGTCTGTAAAGTGGTGCTGGGAAAACTGGACAGGTACATGTAAAAGTATGAAATTAGAACATCCCTAACACCATACACAAAAATAAACTCAAAATGGATTAAAGACCTAAATGTGAGGCCAGACACTATCAAACTCTTAGAGGAAAACATAGGCAGAACACTCCATGACATAAATCACAGCAAGATCCTTTTTGACTCACCTCCTAGAGAAATGGAAAGAAAAACAAAAATAAACAAATGGGACCTAATGAAACTTAAAAGCTTTTGCAGAGCAAAGGAAACCATAAACAAGACCAAAGACAACACTCAGAATGGGAGAAAATATTTACAAATGAAGCAACTGACAAAGGATTAATCTCCAAAATTTAAAGCAGCTCATGCAGCTCAATAACAAAAAAACAAACAACTCAATCCAAAAATGGGCAGAAGATCTAAATAGACACTTCTCCAAAGAAGTTATACAGATTGCCAACAAACAAATGAAAGAATGTTCAACATCATTAATCATTAGAGAAATGCAGATCAAAACTACAATGAGATATCATCTCACACCGGTCAGAATGGCCATCATCAAAAAATCTAGAAACAATAAATGCTGGAGAGGGTGTGGAGAAAAGGGAACACTCCTGCACTGCTGGTGGGAATGTGAATTGGTACAGCCACTATGGAGAACAGTATGGAGGTTCCTTAAAAAACTAAAAATAGAATTACCATATGACCCAGCAATCCCACTACTGGGCATATACCCTGAGAAAACCATAATTCAAAAAGAATCATGTGCCAAAATGTTCATTGCAGCTCTATTTACAATAGCCAGGACATGGAAACAACCTAAGTGTCTATCAACAGATGAATGGATAAAGAAGATGTAGCACATATATACAATGGAATATTACTCAGCCATAAAAAGGAACGAAATTGAGTTATTTGTGGTGAGGTGGATGGACCTAGAGCCTGTCATATGGAATGAAGTAAGTCAGAAAGAGAAAAACAAATACCGTATGCTAACACATATATATAGAATCTAAGAAAAAAAAAAAAAAGGTCATGAAGAACCTAGGGGTAAGACGGGAATAAAGACACAGACCTACTAGAGAATGGACTTGAGGATATGGGGAGGGGGAAGGGTAAGCTGTGACAAAGTGAGAGAGTGGCATGGACATATATACACTATCAAATGTAAAATAGCTAGCTAGTGGGAAGCAGCTGCATAGCACAGGGAGCTAGCTCGGTGGTTTGTGACCACCTAGAGGGGTGGGATAGGGAGGGTAGGAGGGAGGGAGACGTAAGCAGGAAGAGATATGGGGACATATGTATATATATAACTGATTCACTTTGTTATAAAGCAGATACTAACACACCATTGTAAAGCAATTATACTCCAATAAAGATGTTAAAAACAAACAAACAAACAATAATCTACTGAGAATTTCCAGTGTGGATGTGCATATGGGGAATCCTACAGAGTCTGATATTGCTGGTGGGGATTTCACTTAGTACAATTTTTTCACAAAAAAAATTCAAAAAAAAAAATAAAATATTGCTAATCATCTTCACAACAACTCCCACTTCACAGATGACGGTCATTGCTTCCTTCACTTCAAAGATGAGAAAACTGAGGTTCCCAAGGCTTAACTGCTGAAGATACACAGTAACAGAAAGACTTGGGACTAAACGTCAGGTCTCTGACTCCATAGGCCCCACTGTGTCCAACATACCCCTCCTCCATGTCCCTTAATGTGAGTTAAATATGGAGCAGCCTAAAACATAAGCATTTTCATATGCATGATTTATGCCTTTATGAAAATCTTCTAAAGTTTTTTTCATAAAAGTTTACCTATAATTTTTCTATTGAAAATTGACATCTATTTTTCTTTGTATTGTTATGAAATATGGTCTGCAAACGTAATACAATGATGTACGCTTTATAAATGAAGCTTGGATGCAAGGCGACATAAACTCCTAGACTACTATGTAGACAAAAAGTAGACAGTGGGTAAAAGTAAATTGATAGCAATCAGGTTGATGTACAGATCTGGTCTAAAATCAAACCACCCCCTTTCTTCAGAAAGCTTTCCATCCACCGTCGTCACACTTAATCAGCCTTTGCACAAAGGCTGGTATCAATGCTTCCTACCAAGTAAACCTCCTGTTTTTCTTTTTTATTGAACATTCTTAGTCTCCAAAATAAACATTTACAAATTTTAATCTTCTAAGATCAAATTTGATAGATGTAACACCCTTCATCTATATAAAGGCTAAGTATTTAGTCAAAATGCATCTTCACTTTTCTCTGCACAGAATAATTTATCAATAAAAAGAGTTAGCTTTCCAGAATGTGAAAGAAAAGAGTTAAATGCGGTATATCAAATATATACTGTCAGACCTCATTCTTCTAATAGGAGAAGAATGAGTAAGCACATTTGAGGACTATTTCTGAATTTTCATGGGATATGAATTTTGAAAATAAGATGCTTTCACTCTGAGTCACTACTGCCAATTGTTATTCATTTAGTTAGGTGTTACTGAGAATGCTTCAAGGGTTATCCTTTCCATCCTTTATCCTTTGGTAGACTAGCCACCAGTGTTTTTAGGGCTTGTCGCCGTAGCTCTGTTTTGCTCAAATATGTTGCGTATTTTAGGTGATAGCCTTATGTCCAAGTAATGAAGCAGGAGACTGAGAAATGGGGAGATGGAGGCATTAAGCCCAGGCTATAGAAACTACCTGTGGCAAATTATTTTGTTCCTGGGTTTTGGTTTTCCAACTGTAAAATAAAAATATTATTTACTTTTGCTTTATCTACTCACAAAATATATTGTGACAAGTATGGGAGAAAACAAATGAAAATCTCATTGCAAGCCAGCATTACAAGTGTTTCAGTGTGTGGTTTCTTCTGCCTTCTTGATGAATTTTCCTTACCTCTATATCCCACATGCACCCCAGGGCTCCACCCATGACCAGACTAGCAAGGCGATGTTGCAGCATGTAGGACTCCAATTTAGTAGGTCAGTTTCAGTCTCGAATCTCACTGTTCATGAATCTGTCAAGATAATTAGGGCTGGGAATTATCATAACTAGTATCAACAGCAAACATTTATTTACAGTATCTCTGACTATGCACAGAATAATATATGTGTCTTCTGTTTTGTTCACAGTTGTATCCCCAGTGCCTGGCAGTGTCTGGCACATAGTAAGCACTCGATAGTTAATGGATACATAAAAGAATCAAGAAGAACTAGGAAAATAAATATATAAGGCCACTGTCTCCAAAGATTTGTAATCTAATCAAGTTGACTAGGCCTAAAGATAAAAGGTGAGAATGGAACAATTAAGTCAGTCTACATAAGCAGCCCAATAGCATCATGGCAGGAATTACTGGAGAGACTGAAGGCTTCTTCCCTATACGGGAACACTGGAGTTGAATGACAAATCTCCCAGGTTTCAAAAAGGGTAACACCATCTGGAAAACCTTTTATTGTGTTTGGGGGCTACACTTTATCATCAGGGAAAGAGTCTAGATACTTTCCTTTGTCAAAATGGAATGGCAGAGTAAGCAGAATGAAGATTGTAATAACAAGAATGGAGCTTTCAGTTTAGTATTATCAAAGAAAATGCTGGGAAGGGAAGTGAGATTTTTTTTGTTATTTGTTATGGTCTGTTTGTTTTATTTTTTGTTCCTCCAGCAACCATAACTCAATAATGCTACAGTTTTCTAGAAAATGGCACATCTCCTTTTAAGTGTGCTTTGGAAACACTTTCCTCCTTCCCTCCCTCCCTCCCTCTTCTTTGCCTTCCTTTTTTCTTTCTCTCATTCCTTTCATCCTTCCTACAGTATTAATTGGGCAATTAATAATCAATAAAAATTTATTGGGAACCATGTTCCAGGTACTGTGGCAGGCAAGAAAGATGCAGAGATACATAAAGAAAACCATGACCTATAGCAACTCTCAGTCTAAAAGGGAAGATAGCCAAGGAAACATAATTGTTTCCTTGTTATGTCCATATGACACGTTATAACAGTAAAAAAAAATTATTACGACAATGTTAAGAGTGTAGAACAGGCCTCAACTCACTGTCCAGGGGGAGTCAGGAAAGGCTATGGCATTTGGACTGGGTCTTGAAAGGAAAGGAAGCATTGGCTGATGGAAAGAGGCATTCCAGGAACTAGAAACATCATGTGCAAAGGCCCAGAATTATGAAATGACATGGCTGATTCAGAGAATCTGGTAATATGGGGAGCGACAGGTGATAAAGGCAAAGTGGCAAGTTGCAAATAAGTTCTGAAGGGTCCTGTCTACTAGCAAGTTTGGACTTGATACTGTGGAAGCTAGAGAGTGATTATTGACAGGACAGTGTAACAGGATCATAGCTGTTTTTTTGGGACTATTAAAGGGAAGAGATTCAGAAGAGGAACTGGTAGGGAAGCCAGCTAAGAGGCTGTGCACTAGAGCAGGACAGAGAAAAAATTCAGAGCTGAGACTTGGGTAAGGGAAAGGGCTAAGGGGTCTACCTTTGAGAAACATTTCTGCAGCAGAACTGACAGAGTATAGTAAGCAATTGTTTTTGGAGGGTGAGAGAGGGAAGAAGAGGATAACAAGTTTCCAGCTTGAGAAACTGGTTCTGTGATGATGACATCGGCCAGATAGGGAGCAAAGAGGAGGAGTGGGTTTGTGAGAAGACGGTAAGTTCAGGTATGGACACATTGAATTCATGGGTCTGAGACAGATGATATTTGAACACATGATAGTGGATAAAGTCACTTAGAAAGAGTATGTAGAAGTAGAGAAGAAGACCAAGAATATAAGCTAAGGAACTCCAACATAAAAGGGATATGTAAAGAGAGAGGAAGGTAGAGGAGAGAATGAAGGAAGGTTTAGAAAAGTGGAGGAAGAACCAGAAGTAATTGAAGATGGTGTTACACTGGGATACTGTGTCAATAAAGCACCCTGAAGTTGGACAGGGTCAATCTAGACCTTAAGTTCTATTTTTTCCTCCAACCCAAAGCCAAGACGAATGAGCTCCCACCTAATGACTAATCCTTTCCCATCCTGTGGGGTCAGACACATTTACAGGCTGGGCAGCAATAAGAAACCAGCATCATGGAGGCTCAGCATCAAATTGGCCTCATTGCCATGCTGCCTAAACTGGTTCGCTGTTTCTACGAGCTGGAGTCTTGATTCCCTGTCTTTGCTCAAGTTCCTGTAATGAACCCCTGTGCTGGAGGCTACGTCCTTCTCCATGTTCCTAAGACAGAAGTCTTGCCTCTTGGAGTCCAGGTTTGTCTATTCCCTTGTGTTAAAATCCTGAGCTGTCCTGTCTGTCCTCACTCACATATCCTGTCAATGCCTGTAACTATCTTGCCTTGCTTATAATTCCTAAGAGCATCTGGGTGGTGTTTGGATAGCTCTTGCCAACAAACAAGCAACTGATAAATGGACTCTCATATTACTACAGTATATTTATAGCTATTAGTTCTTAAAACTGCTATTTGTTAATTCCACGATGCCTTCATTCAGTGCATGCATTTGACAACTCTTGGGTGCCTACTGTGTGCCAGGATTGTTCTAGGTGCTGAGGATGCAACTGTGAACAAAACAATGTATCTTCCCTTATGCGGCTTGCGAACTAATAGGGAAGACAGATAAACAATTTAAGTACATAGTGGGCCAGATGGAGAAAAATCAAACCACCTACAGGGGGAGACGGAGGCTGGAATGGAGGGAGGGTGCTGCTGTTTTACAATGGCGGGCAGGAAGGATATCACTGAGAAGAGTGAGCTTGAGCAGAGACCTAAAAGAAGTGAGAGAGAGAGATGAGAAAACTGATAGAGTGAGCCCTGTTGGTATTGAGGAGGACAAGTATTCCAGACAATGGGAATTGCAAGAGCAAAGTCCCTGGGGCCGACTTGGCCTTGCACATTAAAGAAATAAGCATTCTATTGTGGGGTAGAAGTTGTCAGAGGGATTAGTAGGGGCAGGAGGCAAACATGAAGAACATTTCGGTTATTGAAAATGTTTTGACTTTTATTCTGATAAGTATAAGTATTTCATCAGAGGAGAGGATGTGATCTGTCTGAAAGGAGCATTCCAGCTGCTTCATGGAGAATAGACTGTAGACAAGATCAGAAGCTGGGAAACTAGTTAGGAGTTGAGAGCAACAATCCAGGGCAGAAAAAATGGTGGCCTGGGCCAGGTTGCTTGAGGTGGGAGTGGTGAGAGGTAGTTGGATTCTGGTTATAAATTAAAGGTAGGACAAAGCAGTATGTAATGATGGCTTGGATATCCTGTAACAAAAATAGAAGTCAAGAACGACTCCAAGGTTTTTGGCCTAAGCAACTACAGCAATGGAGTGGTGCTTACCCAGATGGGAATTAACAAGGTGGGGAGTTCAATTTGGGGCCTGTTAAATTTGGGATGTCTATGAAGCTGTGTCCTGAGCAAGTGGGAGGAGGAGCTGGTGTACCGGCGGAGGGGCTGGCCTTAGACGGGAACGTGGGGCATGGACAGGCCTTCCACGTACCAGGAAGGAAGGTGAGGTGTACAGGGACAGAGGCAGTGACTAGAAAAGGGAGCCGTGAGGACCTGGGGAAGATTTGTAACTGCTTCTAGCTTCTCAGTGAAATAGAAAGCCAGCTCAGCAGCTGAGAGTGAGGACAGAAGAAGGTGTGAGGAGGCTTTAAGATAGAGAAAGTGTGAAATAGTCTTCTATGACAGTGTTCTTCAATTTCAGCTCATGACCTAAATGTGAGTCTTAAAATCAGCTTAGTGATTTGAGATCAATTCAGTGATCAATTCTTTTAAAAAACAATTCTTTTAAAAAGTAAAATTTTAAAAGAGTTTGTTGCATGTATCAAGAGTGAGAATTGCTTAATAAAAGCTTTATTTCAGGTGTATGTGTGTGTCCTGGGTTGCAGCAAAATATTTTTAAACACACTGGCCCAGGGCAGTGGGAGGAAATGAACAAGGGACAGTCAAATTAAACTCAGGGAATGAGTTACTGGCCATACAATTAACATATTTTCATGTAAATATGATTAGAATATAGATTCATAAGAACTTGGCTTTAGACCTGCTAGAGGTCCACAACCCCTCTTCTCCCACCCACCCCTACCTCCACTATAGGAAACCTTTATGTTGGAATATTTTCAATGATGGGACACTCACCAGCTTAAAAGTTCTAGATTTCAGAATATAACTTTCTTTGCTATAAAAAGCAGGACCCTCACAACACTCTCTCAGATGTTAAAGCAGTGAGTAGAGGACCTGGCAGTGGAACTTCAGAATTTAGTGTACTTAATATGGAGTTTGACCTTATTACATAATACCAAACTTGATGGCTTTTTCCTTTTTGGAGAGCTCTAAATGCTCTAAAACAAAGCCAGTCTCAGCACACTAAGAAATCTTGTTTTTATTCAAACTTCAGCCCAGAATGGCACCATTTAGCTTTTAAACGTATGCTCTCTTTTCTTACATTGCACTAACTGCAATTTTAATGGATGATTGAGCTAACTTTCGTGCCTACATTTTCAAGATTTGTCATTGGATCTGCAGATGAGTCCAATCAAATATAACTTTACTTAGAAATAAAATTCTTCATTTCAATACTTTATATGCCTCAGTTGCTGAATATTTTCCGTGCAAAATAGCTTAATGAATAATAGTAATATGTCAATAGGTGCTGTGAAAATGGCCATTTATATTTTTAATTCTAAAGAGCTCAGGTTATCTTCTAGACATTGTAATTTAGAATAAAAAAGGAATTCTCCAGTTTTATATTTTGCTTGTTAAAAATGGTTTTGAGATTATTAACTCAAACCAATTTTCTATGTACCCACTGATTTCTAAACGATTTCTGACCTGTTTTTAAAAAGTACCTTTTCCTTATTTAAAGGCAATGTCAAACTTAGTTTATTAGACAGGATATTAAACATAAATACATGGAATATATTTTCCCCTTGCATTGTTTTTCTCTTTCTTCTGTATTTATTCTGATTTATATAAATTTGAAACACTGAAGTAACAAAAGCAAAGTAAAAAGGGGATGAAATTTAACTAATAGAGAATGAGTGAGGACTCATAAAAGTGTACACTCTTGCCTGCATCAGTAAAAGTGTGCTCATTTATAACACTATTTAATATTAGTTCAGTTGTAAATCCAAATCAAGTAGAATCTGAACCCATTTTCAATTGCTTTTGAGATTATTAGCCTGTATTCCAGGATTCTTTCAATAGTTTCACTTCTCTAAACGCCAAGAAAAAGTTAAAATTGCAAAACAGGAACATGAAATCCATATCTTACTAGTATGGATCCCTCTGCTATTCCTTTACCTAGACCCTCATACATATATTTTTTTCTCTATGTAAAATGTACAGGTTTAGTTCCTCTTCTGTTGCTTCCAACAAGAGCTCTACCATGGAAAGCTCTCTCTCCCCTTCCATTTTGCAAGTCTCAACAAGTCTGTTGCTGAGTCAGAACCTCCTTTTCCCCCCTGATGTGAGAAATCTTTCTCCCTTGGAAATTCATAAAGCTTCGGAAATGTTTAAATTAGAGTCTCCCTAGGGGAAAGGGGCGGGGATGCCAGAATGAATGTGGTGGGGAGGAATCCCACCCACTGCAGTCCCGACGGCAACACACGAAACGCTTTCTGAAACAGGAGGACTTGGAGCGGGCCCAGGGTTACCAAGGGAGCTCGCCTCGGAACCCATTATATGCATGTCTGTGTGTAAATAACCGCACGGAGCCGCGGTGGGTTCCAGGGACTTTGTTCCTCATTACTTAAGTGAAAATGTATGGTATATGGCCGGGCCTTCGTGTTTACCCTACAGAAAATACTTTCACGCGGCTGCGGGAGGGTGGATAACAGTACTCGGCACGAGAGGCTAAAAACAGAAACCGGAGCGAAAAGGAGACGCTTTCTAGGGCGACGAGGAGGGCTGCGAGTCTGGGCCATGGTGGGGCCAGAGGCGTGGGCGACGCGCTCCGCAGTCAGCAAGGCTGGCGGAGCCCCGCACAGGCGGGTCGGCAAGAGGCCTCCCGCGCAGAGCCCGGAGGGCAGCAGGGGCCAGGTCCCCGCTCCCTCGCGCTGCGGGACACGAGCGGCCGCCGACACTGAAAGCCACTAACCGGCCTCAGTTTCCCCGGCTGGCCAGCGCCGCCTAGGGCAGCCCCTGTCCCTGCGACCAAGGCTCCTGTGACCGAAGACGAAGCGGAGGTGACAAGGAGGCAGGGCCCCGAGGGCGACTGGACGGGGGGAAAGTACCGCGTGCGACCTGCTGAAGGTTCAGCGAGGACCCAGAGCCGGGAGGGGCGGTTGCCCAGTAACCGTCCGCGCCCCCCGCGCGTGCTCGCCGTCGTGCGCGCGCGCCGGGCGCACAGGCCTCTTCGGCCGCCCGCCGCCTCAACCGGCCTCTCCTTTCCCCGGGCGCAGGGGAAGCCCGAGGAGACGCGCCGCTCGCGCCCGCGCTCTCCCGCCCTCCCAAGAGCGCTCGCGCGCCCCCGGCCGAGCCTGCATATTAATAAGGGGCGGGACGGGGGCGGGGCAGCGGGGGCGCCGCGGCCTCGAGCCCGCGCGTGCCGGGGCGCACCGCGGGGGGCGGTGCGATTGTGAGGTGGCGCTGACGCACGTTCCGGGGTTCTTAAGCGGCCAGGGCGGCGGCGGCGGCGGCTGCGCCCGAGCAGGTCTCGGGGGGTGGCGGTCATTGCCGCGAGGGGTGGCGGGGCCGAAGTAGGTGCCCCTGGCTCAGTCACGGTGTCCCTCTCTCACTGACTCCCCCTCCTTCCACCAAGGCCGCACCGCCCCAGATCCGGCGGCTTCTTAGGCGGGGCAGCGGACGGGGTGCGTCTCCTCCCGCTGCCGCCGGCCTGATAAATGAGGGACTTCGGGTTTGGGGTGCTGCAAACCGCCCGGCTCCGAAGCAGCAGTCCCGGGTCCCTGTTCAGCGGCGGGGCGTACCGTCCCTACGCCGCTGGAGCCGCGGCGGCCGCCGCCCCGTCACCCTCCGCCACGCCTTTCGGCCCGCTCTCGCCGCTGCCGTTGCCTGTCACCGGCTTCTCGGAGGCCGCCTCCCCCTTCCCTATCCCCTTCGGCTGCGGCGGCGCGGACAGCTCGGTCGCCACCGCTTCCTCTTCCTCCCCGTTCCCGGCGCATCAGCAGACCATGCAGGATGAACTGCTGCTGAGGCTGACACAGCAGCCGGCGAGGCCACTCTCGGGGGCGGAGGCCACGGAGAAACTCCCCAACCACCACCCCGGCGGCGGCACGAACGCGGGTGTGACCCACCTCCTCCCCTCCCAGGACTTCAAACCGAGTCTGCACCACCCCTCCTCCTCCGCCTCCTCCTGCTGCTGCTGCCGCACCTCCTCCCCGCAGGACTTCAGTAAGCGGCAGCAGCAGCAGCTGAGCAGCCAGAAGAGGAAAGAGTTCAGCCCTCCCCGCCTTCCCCACCCTCCGGACTCGAAGCCGCCGCCGCCGCTCCACTGCCCCGGCCGGTTCGGCTCGCCGCCGCCGCCCGGCCAGCTCCTCCAGCCGGCGCAGCTCGCCCAGCGCCAGCCGCAACAGCAGCAACAACAGCAGCAGTTCAGCCTCCCGCACCCGCAGCACCTCCCGCCGCAGGACTTCGCCCCGCAGCAGCGCCCGGCCGACCTGCCCCCGCTCCCGCAGCTCCAGCCTTCGCCGCCTGCAGCCCCGCGGCGCCGCCACGGAGGCGCGGGCAGCCCTCGCAAGACCCCGGCCGTGGGCGAGGGCAGCGCCGCCGAGCCCCCCAATGCGGGCTTGGCCCCCTCGACGCCGCCGGTGAACCCCGCGCCGGGCTCCATGGAGTCCCCCAACCATCCTCTGCTCAACAGTCCCAGTAACCTCCTGCCTGGCGGGGCTCTCGGCGCGGGCGCCTTCAGCAGCCTGCAGAGCCCGGACCTTCCGCACCCGGGCGGCGGCGGCGGCGGCAGCGGGGGCGGGGGGCCCCCCGGCGGCGGAGGGGGAGGCGGCTCCGCGTCGCCGCCGCCGCCGCTGCCCGGCTTCGGCACCCCCTGGTCGGTGCAGACCGCGTCGCCGCCGCCCCAGCCCCAGCCGCCGCCGCCCCAGCAGCAGCCGCCGCCTCCGCCCCAGCAGCCGCCGCAGCCGCAGCCGGGTTCGTCGGCCGCCACCCCGGGTGGCGGCGGCGGCGGCGGCTCGCTCAGCGCCATGCCGCCGCCCAGCCCCGATTCGGAGAACGGCTTCTACCCCGGGCTGCCGTCGTCCATGAACCCGGCCTTCTTCCCGAGCTTCTCGCCCGTGTCCCCGCACGGCTGTGCTGGGCTCAGCGTGCCGGCGGGCGGCGGCGGCGGGGGCGGCGGCGGCTTCGGGGGCCCCTTCTCGGCGGCCGCCGTGCCCCCGCCACCGCCGCCCGCCATGAATTTACCTCAGCAGCAGCAGCCCCCGCCGCCCGCGGCGCCGCAGCAGCCTCAGAGCCGGAGGTCACCCGTCAGCCCGCAGCTCCAGCAGCAGCACCAGGCGGCCGCTGCCGCCTTCCTGCAGCAGAGGAACTCCTACAACCACCACCAGGTACGGCGGGAGACGGCCCGGCTGCGCCGCGAGGCCGGGGAGACTGCGGGCGGGCGCGGCCCCGAGGGGCAGTTGCGAGGGCCCCTCGCCCGACCGAGTAGGACCCGGAGGGCGGAAAAGGGCGACGGGACTCGGGACACCAGACCCTGGCGGGGCGTGAGGGCTGTGGCCACCGTGGGCTGTGGGGCTCCAGAGTCGGGTCCGGCTGGAAGTGGCCCTGGCCGGGCGCCCCCTCGAAAGCCTCGGCGTGGCGGTGGGTCTAGGGCAGGGGCGGAATGGCGCCGGGGCGGGGGCGGGGGGCGGCCGGGCGCGACGTCCCTCTCGTACCTCGTACGGGGCGACCCCGGGGCCCGGCCGGCGTCCCCTGGCCTGGTGAGCGGCCGTCCGGCTTTCTCGAGCCCCGGAGACACGGCGAGACGGCCGGGGTTCGGGGGTCGGAGGACCTGGGGTTGGGGACGCGGGACCAGCGGGCTCGGGCGGCGGCCTCGGGGAGGGGGGGCAGCGGCCGTGGGAAGCGAACCCGGGAAGGAGGAGAATGATTACCGGAGACTGTGCGTGTGGTCAGCCCGTGACCTTTCGCCGTCGTCCAATGAGGGAACGGGCGGAAAAGCTTTTTTTCTTTTGAGTTTGTATCATTCTTAATTGGCCGGCGAGACCTGTCGCGGGCGAGGCAGTTGCCGCCCGCACAACCTACCGGGACCAGGGTCGGCGAGGAGCGTCCCGGCCGCGCTCCTCCTGCCCACCTGCCTCCCGACGTGGGTCGGTCCCCCCGAGCTGTCAGATGGTTAAGACTGAGATGCTCCAAGACGGTTTTATTTTCTGTGCTTTTTAATGTTTGGGTACTATTTTGTAGGTTTTAAAACGAAACGAGTCTGCTATTTGTGTGTTACCTTGAAGAGAAGACTTTCACTTTTTTCTTTTTTTTCTTTTCTCTCTCTCTTTTTTTTTTTTTTTGGTGGCCTTAACCTTCTCTTGAATGATAGGGTGTGTGTATTTTAAGTGGGTAGTATAATTATGAAATCACAGCAGGCAGGTTTTTTTATTCATCCGAGCCCTTTCAGATTCAAGGTCTGTTTTGTTATCCTCTCAAAACAACGTTTGAGTGGCCGCTGGTTTGGCTAATTGACATTGAAGGAGTATTTTGTTGTTCTTTTTTGATCTAGTCAGCATTTATTATAGTGATCATTCTGTCTAAGGTCAATTTCGTGATTAAAGGTTGAGAGGGAAGCAAGATTGGACCTTAACCACTACTTACGTACTCATATAACTTTTTCATTGTCCAGTTAAAGTTTTTAAGGGTTACCCTTTTAAAAAGGTGAATACTATCTAATTTAACCAAAATAACAGTTAACAGTTTATTTAAATTAACCAGAATAACAACAGTTTTTGTTGAATCACTGGTTTCTTCCTGAGGAAGGAGAATGTGGCCTATAAGGGTTGAAAATAGTTAATTTTGAAATAGTATTCCCCTTTTCCATGATTTACATAATCTTGAGCAACTGTCTTTTGGGTGTCAGGGTCTTCGTTTTTTAACTGGAAACTTGCCACAGAAAATTATCTGTAGGTATTTTTGTATTCTTAAGGCCTTGGTATATCACTAGAAGACCATATACCAAGATCCATATTTAACTATAATTTGCTTTTTGTCAAAAGATGGGTCTTGCAGTGGAGTGTAAGAGGTCACAGCTGTTATATGGAATTTTAGGTCACTGGAAGAGAACTTTGAGCACTGCATCAGTGATGAAAGTAAGGTCCTGAAGAATGGAATATGTCCGTGGTCCCTTAGCTATCCTTTTGAACTACATAGAGGGGGAAAGGGTAGTATATATTCATGATTATATTAGCATTAAAAAAATTTTAATAAGTAATAGGCACTACAGACCAGGTTTGCAGAAAAAAAAATAAGCAGGTTTAATATTAAGAGTGCTTGACTTAAAATAAATTATTGACTTATAGTTAAGTGCACGACCCATACTCCCTTTGGCTAAATGTTGGCACAAAATTATTAAATTATAAGCTTATTGACTGTAAAATTGCTAGCAATTAATACTTTTCACAATCTACAGTTGTAGCCTCTTGGTGAATTTTTCATTCTTTGATGACTTAACTTTTCTTGCTATTGGTTAGAGTTTGGAATATTACTTTACTTTTGAAAATGAATAAAGTTCATGGAGACTTGTATTACTAAGTTCTTTACTAGAATGATCAAAGTATATAGTTGTTTATCTTAGTGTATCCACCTATGGGTAATATCAGATAATTATTTAACAGTTCACGGATAATTAAGTGAAGTAAAAACTATGAAAATTTAAAAGAAACTACATTAAAACCGGAATAAAATATCTTAAAAGTTGAATAAGCAGTGCAAAAAAAAAGACATATTTGCTATATTTTCCCTATCTCAAAAGGCATTTTTAATCTGTGCAGTAGAATAACACCAAATGTTATTATCCACTTTTGCAGTGGTACAGTTTGTTTTAGAAACCTAAAGTCTAGATATTTCACTCATATGATTGGTATATTTTAATTGATAACGATCATATTTTTAGTTCTGTGCTTAGCGGAACATAGTTGCTTTAAGATCATAGTGTAGGTTATATCTGTAAGGATCTTCAAAGTTAATTTCAATTTTAAAGTATTTTTTTCTTCATATCTGTCATTTATACAGTTCTCTCTAAAGGGGAAAAAAAAAGTAACTGCATGGTTCTATTTTAATGAGTGTCATGAAATATCTACTTGATTCATTATAATTTATAGTAGACAAGAGTATGAAAACTCAGCATTAAATGAATATGTTTTCATAAGCAAGATGTCAAGCCTATTACTTTTTATAAACTAGTTATGATATATTCTGTTGCCTTTATATATTTCATTTTTTTAAGATCATATAAATTCTTAGCTCAGGCCTAAATTTGAATTTGAATTATAAACTCTTTAAATGCTTATAATTTAAATAGATGTATTTTCCCCAGCCTCTTCTAAAACAATCTCCTTGGAGCAACCATCAAAGCAGTGGCTGGGGCACTGGAAGTATGTCGTGGGGAGCAATGCATGGCAGAGATCATCGTAGAACTGGAAACATGGGAATTCCAGGAACTATGAATCAGATATCTCCATTGAAGAAACCGTTTTCTGGTAATGTCATAGCACCGCCGAAATTTACTCGCTCTACTCCATCACTGACTCCAAAATCTTGGATTGAAGATAATGTGTTCAGAACAGACAACAATAGTAATACGCTCTTACCCTTACAGGTAAGAATGGTATGTAAATGGCCTTATTTCTAATGTTAATCTTTCAAAATAGGAAATTGGGGGTGGCAGTAGTAATAGTATGGTAAAATTAACGGATTAAAAAAGAGAAAGCTCTAATTTTTAAGCATATAATTTGATTATCAAAGGATAAAATACCTATACAAAAAAATTGAGACTAAAAAAATCTCTAAACACATAATAGAAAATAAGCTTCATAAAGTGTAGAAAACCCTGCTGTATTTCTTAAATTCATATTGAAGCTCTTACTTGGCAGCTCCTTAAGAATGCCTTAATTCATTAATCTTTAACAGGCCACCAAAATGAGTTTCTCCTCCAGTATAGCTGAACTAAAATGTTTCGTAATTGTGCATAAATATAACTATGGTCAGCTGTATGTATATTCAAATGTAGTTAGTACAGCTACGATCATGAAAAAATAACATTAGGACTTTTTACATAGAATTAAAATTTGTTCACTGGTTCAGTGACTTTTTTTTTTCTAAATGTGGCCTAATACTTATAATGATTAGACATTTTTTTCAGGGCTTTTAATATTTTGCTGATATTATAGGTTAATAAAGTCCCCTTATGACTATTTAAAATGAGATATTTTTCCCTTAAAACTGTTAGAGGATGGAACAAGGATACAAGATAGAAAAAACTTTGATTGTTTTTTTCTTTTCATTCTTCTTTTTTTTTTTTTTTTTGTGGGTGGTTATGGGGAAGAGAACTGCTTATTTCTGATGAAAACTTCTATGCTATTGAAGGTGAGATCTAGTTTGCAGTTGCCAGCTTGGGGCTCAGATTCACTCCAAGATAGTTGGTGCACTGCAGCCGGAACATCCAGAATAGACCAGGTAGGCTGGACAGTGTATATTTTTCAGGATTTTGGCTAGGAGTTTAGTATTTGTATTATGAGTAGGATTTATTATTTATTTTCCAATTATACCTATTTAAGCATATGTCAGAGAGCATTAAAGCAATTTATTTTTAAAGGGTCACTTAAACTATTTAATGTAAAATGCTTCATTTTTAAATTTAAAAGTAATTCATAATCATTTTGTATGTCCTAAACATAATAAATTTGTTTTTGGAGAAAGGAATCCTATACCCAAGAGCACCTGACTTTAAACATCAGTCAAACTGAACACATTTTATCTCTTTTCAGAATCATTTGCAATTAGGTATAAAATCATATGTTTACTTAATATCTAATCTTACATTTCATAAATGATATATAAAATTTTTTGGTAAACTTTTTTCATGAAATCTGCTGTATTTGTCTTGAGATGTATTTCTAAGAAAGCCCTTAGTTCAGGTTTTACCTTTATAAAAAACTTTATAGTATTTCTCTGTTCTAAATTTTGTTACTGCTATTATATACTGTCTTCTTCCAAATAATCAGTTTCCTATGGAAAAGCTCTGAGTCAAAAAGCTGAGAGTCAGTCTTAATCAAATTACCTTCAAGTCCTTTGTGGTTACAAAATGCTATCTCTCTTCTGCAGATGAAATTTGAATGCATACTGGGTACCAGCTGATGAGAATTATTTCAGGACAAATAGAACACTCAGTCCTCACATAAGAGGATTCTTTCGTACAGAGCCCAAGTTTGAATGAGCATAGACTTGACATTGTGGGAGTCCACTGAAAGGAGCTCTGTTATCCTTA